AAATATATCCTCTTAATATTGTATCTCTTAATATTGTATATTGTAACTTTTTATTATAAGTTATATAATTTTTTATTTTTTATTTAATTGTACTTATCTATAGTAATAGTATATTTAATTGTATTTACCTACAGTTTATTCTGTTTCTGCTTCTTCTTGTATTTTCTTTATTACATATTCTTCATGTTCCTCGCGTGCAACTTTTATAGCGCATACAATCAAGGAGAAACTTTTTTCACATTCGTGCGAAATATTTCTGACTATATAAACAAAAATTCAAAATAATATAGTAAAATACGTATAGCATATTTGAAAAAAACACTTACTAAATTCTGTCTTTTTCAGACACATGCAATCCAGCCAACTCTTCTTGTTCTTTCTTCATTTTTAAGTTGGGCCTCTCCTAAAATAAATATTTACCATAATTTTTTTGCAGTTTATTGAAATAATTTAAGTAGTTGATTAAAAGAATACTTACAGCAAATATTAAAAGACAGGTGCAAAGCAGACTTTTCATTTTATGTAGATTATATTTTCACTGTTATAAGCGCAATTATTCAAAGACTAATCGCAAATAATATGTATATATACTAGCTCTCTCACTCTAAAATATAAAATACATAAATTAAAAAATCAAGATTATAGATTACATAAACTTTAATTATGTATAAATAAAAATAATTTGCCATATAATGACAATATTTCACACTAAATTTCATACTGAAGAAGTTTAATTTAAGGGTTTTTATTTAAAACATATATTTACAGAGTAACTTATTAATTAAATTAAATGTGAACTTTTAATACAAGAAGAATAATTTTCTTATTAAAGTTTTATTACGTTGTTGTACGGAACATTAATTATTATATATATATAGTGTATAGGTATTTAATTATATTTAATTATTTCCATTCTCCGCATTCTCTATATCTTCTTCATTTTCATTCAGTTAGTATGGAAGGAAACAATCTGTACACACTTTTTACACCACACTTCATTGCTACAACACCTCGCTGACATCTTTCTTGCGATGCATGTTTTACTAAAATACATATAGTGGATAATATATTAACAACCTTACATTAAAAATCATCTTACATTAAAATTTTATTAATTAAAATTTTATTATCTAATAAAAATAATAGAAAGACGCGTTATGTAAATATTAGATATTAACATATTTAATTAAAAAATAAGAAATAAAAAATAAAATATTATATTGTTAATTATATTTAAATTATGTAACAATATTAATATCAAATAAAAGTATGAATATATTGCAGATACTTTAATGTTAAGAGTACAAAAAATTTATTCAATCAAGATATAAAAAAATATTTATATTATTATACTTATTAGCAGTCAATTTATATTTTTAAAGATACGCTAGATATAGTAGTTTTACCTTTTCTCATACAATCACTTAGAAATTCATGTATTTGAATTTTATAGGGATGATTAGCAAATATTTTGTTATTTAAATCCGCATAAAATTTCTCTTCCTTAAATTCTGATTTTTCCATCTAACATTGATAAAAAAAGATAATAAACATTAAGCTTTTTTAAAATTCAATTACTTATAATGTATATTTGTCTCATAAATAAACATATAACCAATTATTCCTTGCTTATAGTAGAGGAAAGCTCCTTATTATGAGATAGGTACCTAATATGAAATAGCAGCGTTTCTGCTAAACTAATACGTTATCTATTGATTCCACTATGAATTTATTGTTCTTGGATTAAAAAATATTTAGTAGAAAATTCGTTATTAGATCATGCCTGTAGTCATTGTAAAAAAAGATTTTATAATTTGGACGTCTTCAAGTTTCATTGATATGAACCTTCAAACATTGTTTATTATTTAATAAAAAAAATATTTGGCAATAAATTCTTCATGTAGTGATAGAGTAAGTATTAATAGAAAAATTGTTTAATTACAGAAGTTAGATTTGATGATCGTAAAACCGTAAAGCATGGAATCGTAATATGAAATACCCAGGATATTTCTAATATGAAATAACTCCTATGTCATAGTGAAAATCGTTGCTAAGGTATAAATGTTATTGTACAAAAATAAAAAGGACAACCGGAATGAATGTCGAGTGCCTATTTCTGTAATGCTTGATTTCAACTATCAGAAGACGAGTTCTGGGTATAATGCATCGCATATTTCATTTCATTTCGCGCACCGCTGTGTTTGTTTGTATTTAAGAAACATTAAATAAAGTTTTTTAATTACAATACTGATATACTTTGCGTTTTATTATCGATTTTTTGGAGTATTTCATATTAGAAGCACAATTTTTTGACTTTGCGATTTGCTCACTTTTTACATTTCTTTAATTTGAAAAAAAATGGAATTTGAATTAAATATAACATTATCTTAAAACTTATTGAATTCTATTCAAAATGATCTATTATTTTTTTAAATTTTGCTCATAGACTTCTAACATTTACCCAAAATGAACTCGGTATCTCATAATAGAAAACTTTCCTTTTTAAATGATATGGATACATATATACGTTACTTGAAAATATCAATTTTTAATATCTACATCAATGACATAATTTTGACAATATTTATTAATCCTTTCAGACTTAATTTTACTGGAACATATTAAAAAGAATTTTTAATTCAATTTATGTGTACTTTAATAAATAATTTATACTAAAAAATTAATTTTTTTTTCAAAATTTTGATTATTTTTTTAACATATATCTATCCTATCTAGCGAAAGGTCACATTTACGTCACAATAGAGTCACAATAGTCAGAAAAAAAATATGATGTGTCATAACAAAATAATGTGCATGTTACAAAGCATTCGCACATCATGACATTGCTATATCATAATGTGATAAAATGAACATTCGCACGTCAGCATGACGTAATCATGATTGTGAAGTAACTTTATTTTATTATTATGGAGGACATCAGATTGATGTACATCAGATTTTAAATAATATCGATAGAATTAAATAATTTCAACACAGCCTTAACTACACTGACCTCCAGGGGACGTCCTATGGACATCCAAAGAATACCGTGTGTCCTTTAAACATCCTAAGGATATCTTCAGGATATGGACAGACTCCCAAATAAAGTATGCTATTAGGAAGATGTCTTTAAATTTGATGTATATACATTATACACACAGGATCTGAAGGGATTAATAAACACTTTTGGAATAAAAAAACAATTATTAGATATATCTTTAATAAGATTTGATCAGTATTTGCCACACTTTGTATTGAATGTCGCGAATATTTGATAAAAGATAAAAAACTTTAGAATTATCTTTCAAATAATTACCCAATTCAATTTCCTTAAAATGCACTCAACAAAACAGCCATGCTTTCGTGATTTTTCCTCAAAGTCAGGCTTTTCAATAACATCATTTATAATATCTCTTATATCATAGTCATCCTCTAAAAAATAAATATTAAAAAGAAATATTTATTTTTTATTATACGAATTTTATATACTTAAAAGGAAAATAAAAAATCAATTACATTTCTAATAAATTTGTTATTAAAGAAAATAAAGTAAATTTTAATTATTATGTCATTTTGTTATTTGTTATTATTAATAATAAACAATTATTTTGTTATTTGTTGAATGCTTAATAAGTATCTGAAGTTGTCAAAATTTTGATAGAAAATACTTATTTAAGCATTTTGATAGAAAATACTTATTTAAGCATTTATCAAGAACATATTAATTTATTCTCAATCTTAATTAAAGATTCCAAAGAATAAATCATAAGAAGGTAGAAAGCCAATGCGAGCCAACAGGTTGTTGGTGCAAGAATATCATATATTTCGGAATTAAATAAAATTACAGATTTTGATCTTTATTATTGGATCATCTTCAATGTAGTTTTTGAAAAAATTCCATTACGTAAATTTAAATATTATATAGAACATAGAATTAAATTTAATCATGATTTTGATTGGAACTACATCAAGATTTTAGATGAAGAAAAGAATTAAAACAAACAATTAATCTTAGAGTCTATTTATGTTAAGAAATAGGAAAATATAACTATTTTAACAAGAGGATACTGAAATGTTGGATTCTTTATAAAATAATGATTTATTTTAAGAAGAATGAATTTTCCAAGATTTATAATTAATACTTTATTTTTATAACTCGTTTGACTTTTTGTTTTTCTTTTATTATTTCTTTTATTGTATTATATTATTCCCCCACTTAGTAACAACAATTTCGTTTAACCTTTTCACACACACTCACACACACACACACTCTTGAAAGGTCTTACTGTATACGTTCTAAATTATTTATTTTATTATTTGACCATTGTCAATATGTAATGTAAGTGTATATAATATGTAATGTAAATTTTTTAAATATTTTTTGTATTAGTATTTTATGTCTTTTATTATTTTTCATGTTATTGTATATTGCAGATAATGTAATTCGTTTGAGTATTCAGTTAAATACAGACAAGTTCAAAAATATTTATTATATTTGAAATGGTAAGCGGTTTGTACACATTTAAATTTACACAATGGAATTTTTTCAAAAACTACCTTGAAGATCCAATAATAAGGATCGAAACATCTATAATTTTTATTTAATTCTAAAATATATGTATTCTTGCATACCAACAACCTGTGCTGGCTAGCATTTAGCTTTCTACCTTCCTACGATATATCAATTAGAATTGATCAAATGAATAAAATATATTCTGTATTTTTATTGCTTACCATAAGTCATACCAGCTTCAATAATGCAAATGTTCATAAGTTGAGTTCTATTATTAGGTTGTATTTTTAATTTACTCATTATAGGTATAGATGAAGTAAGAGACTAAAATATATTTTTTACAATTTTATTTTATATAACATAATAACGTTGTGATATTTGCTGTTTGAATAAAAGATATCATTTCCGATGTATTGGGTCGTCCGGAAAGTTCGTGCTGCAAAAATTTAAATATAATAAATGAAATTAAAAATTTTATCTTCTGCGTTTCAATTTTCCTTCAAAATCGGCGAACTTTCCGGACAACCCAATATTTTCGCGCGCTGAACACGAATCCGGTAATGAAATTGCTCCATCAGATTGCTCCGTCAGAAAAGTGAAGTTAAAGGTATCAAAATTAACGGTTTTTTGATATATTTGTAATTTTTTGCTAGAAGTAAATTTTTTTTCTACTTTCATTTACGCCATCTTAAAGTGCCAACTTTTATCTTTAAAATATATTTTTTTAACGCCGTACGTTTTTTCTTCACCGAGATAATCTCTGCGCAAATTTTTCCGTCATATTGGATCCTCTATTTTGAATTTCGAAAATTCTTAAAATTCTTTTTCTTCAAAAATATTTTTGGCACAAAACGTTTTTCTTTGTGTGACTACGCAGAGATTATCTCGCA